AGACGCGAGCTTGCGACCTGGTGACTCTGCGCGGAGGACCTAGCTCCCACGACGGCCGCAGCGGGTGGCGCCATGTTTGAAGACCGACCCAGCGGGCAGGAGGGGCTACTCTGTGCACAGGAGTCCCCAAGGCCAGACTAGGAGGGGCGGGTGGAGCGTCACCCCACCCCCCTTGCACCTTGGCTAATGCGGGAGCCCTCTTCTCAGGTTGTGCCTTCCATGCCCGCTGCAGTCAGGAGACGCCCGCTGCTGGTGCCTGCGCCAGGGGATGCCGCCTCCCCAAGGTCTCAGAGCCGCAAATTCCTCACAAACCAGGATTGGCAGCATTGACTTGCCCCAGCACAGAGGCCTTCGCAGCACAGAGTCCTCGGCAGCGGCCCGGAACCTCAAAGTCCAGTGTTCAGAATATGGCAGCGCTGCTGCAGCAGGGTTTTGAAGGTTATGCAGCGACCTGGGGGAAGAGGGTGCCTTGGCTGCTTGGGATTGAGGAATGAGGCTTCCAGGTCACCAAGACTTGGTTGCCTGGTCCCCCCTCCTAGAACGCCCAGCAGCCTTGCCTGCTCAGGTAAAGGTGCCTGTGCTGTCCTCTGCCCTCCACATAGGTGGCTGCTAGAGGAGGGGAGCCCCTCTCTGGGAGGGGTCATTTCTTCTCCAGAACCCCCTTCCTCGCTGCCCAGATGTGAAATCAAGAGGCATCCAGGGAACTGATGGGTCCACCCAGGACCCTTGAGATGAACCAGGGGGTTCACTGCAGAGGTCCAGCGAGGATAGGTGGAGGTGCCCCAAACTGTGTGCACCCCTGTTCCTGGGTCTGTGGAACTCACCTAGGCCCCCACTTGTGCACAGAAGCCACAAAGGGCCACCTTCCTCCACCCCCACCCCTCAGCCACCCAAGATAGGCTCTGGCATCTCTCTCTCCCCATCTCCTGCCTGCTTCTTTATTTCATCCTTTTATTGATAGTTCAGTGGGGTAGGCATTGGGCCACTAACCACAAGGTCAGCAGTTCCAGCCCCCCAGCTTCTCTGAGGGATGAAGATGAAGCTGTCTGTCTCCATAACAATCCTGAGCCTCAGGAACCCACAGAGGCATTTCTGTCCTGTCCTGCAGGGTCAGCATCCACTCAATAGCAGGGAATTGTTTGCTATTACAATGAATCAGGAGTGATTCGATGACAGTATGGTTTCATCTCAAAAAGGAGATGAACTCAAGTAAAACTCTATCATGCTACTCTGCCTTGGGAGCTCTGGTGGTATAGTGGTTACAAGTTGGGCTGCCAACCACAAGATCAGCAGTTCTAAACCACCAGTCGCTCCAAAGGAGAAAGATGAGGCTTTCTGCTCCCTTGAATAGTTAGTTACAGCCATGGAAACACAGGGGCAGTTCTACCCTGTGCTACAAGGTCTCTATGGGTCAGAACAGACTCAATGAGTTTGAGCTTGGTTTTTGTTTGTCTAGCCTGATCCTATTAATGTAACAAAGACAGCCCATGCCCCAATTGGATAACATCAAACCAAAAACCAACTTTTAACTCATAGGGACCCTATAGGACAGGGTAGAATGCATCTGTTAGTTTCTGAGTTAGTCACCATTGACTGGAGTAGAAAGTCCTGTCTTTCTCCCCCAGAGCTGCTGGTGGTTTCAAACTACTAACCTTTTGGTTAGCGACCCAATCTGTGTGATCACGACGCCACTAGGGTTTATTGGATAACCTCGAGCATTTAAAAAAAACAAAACTGACTGCCAACAAGTAGATTCTGATTCATAGCAACCCTAAAGGGCCTTGTTTGACCAACCCCTGTGGGTTTCGAAGGCTGTACATCTTTATGAGAGCAGGCAGCCTCATCTTTCTCCCTTGGAGCAGCTGGTGGATTCAAACGGCTGTCCTTGGCATTAGCAGCACCTTCTGCAACCAGGGCTCCCAAACCACAGGCATAGAGACTGCGCTTTGCCACACAGAAACACAAATTCACCCATACCAAACCTCATGCCCCACTTGGGCCCTCGTCCCTTGGCACCCTGCCCCTTACCTGGTCACAACCTGTCCTGAGCACCAAGCTCCTGGCTCTCCTGGGGGTGTGGCTGCTCTGAGCAGCAGCTCATGGGCTGGGAGGAGCTTCAGCCAGAGTGGAGGAAGGGAACGGGGTGCCTGGTCTTGGGCCTGGCCCAAATTGAGCTTCCTCCTCCACCCACAGAGGGAAGTCTCGTTTTAATTAGGTTCAAGATGCTCACTTTTCAGCCCTCCCCAAGCGCAGACCTCACGCCATGGTCAGGCGTCACTGGGAAGGCAAATGGGGCTTCAGACAAACAGACCTGCAGAAGTGCCCGAGGCAGGTCTGCGTGTGCACCCTGCGAAGGAAAGAGCTCCGAGGTGTTTGTGACCTGGAGAAGGAGGGGTCAATGGAGACCGCTTGTGGGTTAGACCAGAGAGTTAGACCACAGGGCCCTTTCCCAGCACGACACAACATCCAGAAGTCTTGTTCAGCCTCAAAAAGGAGCCCCCTTCATCCTGCCACTCACTGGCCCGTCGTCGTTTTCAGGGGAGGTGACTGGACCTAGTAGGCTTCTGCAGAGACAGGCCGGGGCCTGGGCAGCAGAGGACCAGGGCTGAACCCCAATTCTAATAGTCACTGCTTTCAGTGAGATGTGTGCCTCCATCGAACCAGCTGGAGTGCCTACCTGCTTTTCTGAAGATTCGGTGACCTTGCTTGGAAAGGAGGTCCGTGAAGCTGTTACCAGTTCCTGAAGGGGAAGGGGGTGGGGGTGGGGGGTTACACTACAGTGAGAGGGTGTCCAGATTCCCACCTAGTGGTGAAGACAAGAGGTGCAGGAAACTCGCAGGGAAACCGCCCTAACCGCAGACAATGGATGCAGAGGTTGGAGTGGTGGGGCCACAAGCCAAGGAGTGCCTGGGACCCACAGAAGCTGGCCGAGACAAGGAGAGATGCTCCTTGGAGCCTTTGAAGGGAGCCTGACACTGGGAGAGGAGGAGTCCCTGCTGCTTTGAGCCTTTCGCCCAGCCTGTGGCATCCCGCCTCCCTTTATTTAGATTTACTAGTGACTCTTCACAGATCCTGTTTCTCACCAGGGGAAGCTTGGTGGGAATTCTGCGGCAAGCAAGTCCACCAACACCATTTTTCCAAGAAGAGCTGCTCACTGCCTGCCCCCAAGGTGGTCACGCTCACGCTATCGCTCATGTTTCCATCCCTCTAGTGCACACTGGGCCACAGACAATGGCCTAGTGTATCAGCCTAGCTTTGTATTTCCACTGGGAAACCATACATGCGTGTGCCTCCCTTCATGTTGCTTTCTGTCTATTTCATTTCGGTGGTCAGGCAGCGAGCCTGCAATATCCCCAAGGTATTTATTACCTGTGGAAGCTGAGCATGGCTCGGGACAACCTAGGCAGAATTGATGCCTCTGAGTGATGGTGTTGTTCTTATTGTTGTTGTTGTTGTTGTTGTTGTGTGCCCTCAAGGCCATTCCCTCTCACGGCTACACTATGCACAATGGAATGGAACCCTGCCTGGTCCTGCCCCGTGCCCACAGTGGTTGTGATGTTGGAGCCTATTGCTGCAGCCACTGCGTCAACTCATCTTGTCGAGCGTCTTCCTCTTCCATAGCCCTCTGCTTTACCAAGCACCATGTCCTTCCCCAGGGACTGGTCCCTCCTAACGGTACGCCCAAAGTACCTGAGATGACGTCTCCCTGGCTTTGTCCATAAGGAACCTGCCAGAACACATACTTCCTCTAGGACAGATGTTTGCTCTGTGGCAGCGCGTGGCCCTTTCAGCAGTCTTCATCCACACCGTAGGTCCGGTCCTTCCGTGGTCTTCCCTATTCCGTGTCCAACTTTCGCATGCATGTGAGGTGATTGGAAGCACCGTGACTTGGGCCAGATGCACCTGAGCCCTCAGAGTGACACTGACTCTTCAACTCTTCGAGATGGTCTTGTGC